GTTTTTCTAAGCACTGATCAAGAAAGACTCAATCTACATCGTTATATGCCTTTTCAAAATCCACAAAGATTATAGCGGCATTGTGCTTAGACTGGCGGGACAGTTTAATGACTTCATTTATGAGAAGAATATTGTCCTGAATTTGCCTTCCTTTAATAAAGCCGGTTTGTGCCGGGTGAATAATATCTAGCATCAACGGCGCCTTACCGTTTGCCAATGTTTTTGCAATCATTTTATAGACTACCGTCAGAAGTGTAATTGGTCGGAAGTTCCTGATATTCATTTTGTCCCCCTTCTTATGGAGCAGCGTTAATATCCCTTGCCCCACAAATTCTCCCATTTGCCCTGTTGTCCAGACCATTTGATAATATTCCATTAGATCTTGCGACAGCGAAGACCACATTGTCTCCCAAAATTCCTTTGGCAGACCATCTATCCCGTTTTTTTTTTCCTCCTCCATCTGCATTGGCGCTGTCCATACCTCTCTTAGTTATCGGCATCTCCAAGGCTGCCCTTTGCTGCTCCTCAAGCCGGTTTTGGAGGGGGGCCAAAAATTCTCGAATTTCCTGGATTCTTGGGTCTTCCGGGGAATGTTTACACTGTGATGAAAACAGTTCCTGGTAGAATCTCCTAGCTATGCAGAGGCATTGGGCTGTATTAGTGACTGGTTGCCCTTAGGTGTGTGCCGGGTCTATAAGAGCATCTATGGTCGTTCTCCCAGTCCTAAGTTGGCCATAGCAAAAAATTGTGCATTCATAGTTCCTTCCGTCCTTTGTTTTTTAAGCTTGCCTCTTATTCTTGCACCATTCCATCTATGCTCCATACGGTTAAGGAGTCTAGCCTCTGTTTGTTATACAGCATCGGATAGGTCCTCTTGGGTTTGCTCTTGTTGTTGGTTGAGTTCTTGTAGGTGGTTTTTGAGCTCAATCTCCTCTTTGTTCCTCTGTGCAGCTACCTTTTTTGAGTATTCGCAGCATTTTTTTGCCAAGAAGGCCAAGCCATTGTTAAACCATACAACGTTATTCTCAATCTCGCTCTTGTGCGACTGCCAATAGTGCCATGTGTCTTTAACAAAAGATTGGAATGCGTGTTATGTCAATAATGAGGTATTCAATTTGTAAAAGTATGGCCCTTGATCAGGTTTTTTGCGAAACGAGAGGGTCGCCACACACATGGCGTGGTCCAAACCGGGGTATGGGCTGTGGGGAAAGATTTCTGCAATCTGAAGAGAGCCCTCTATTGCTGTAGATATTAATATTAGGTCAATTCGTGATCTAGTAATTTTTCCTGGTCCGTTTTTCCGAATGCATGAAAAGGCGCGCCTGGTAGGGTGTAATTTGCGGAATGAGTCGTACACATCCAAGGAGGAGCAGAGCTCGGCCATAGTTTGTTCATCCGTTCCCACATATGGCGAGCACGGGGAAGGTAGTCGCCATCTATCCAGCCATCGGTCCGGTGCGGCATTAAAATCTCCTGTTAGAATTATGGGAATTCCTTGCGGGAGTTGTGGGACCTTGTCCTGTAATTTCTCAAAAAAGGCCGTCGGGCCATAAACGCAGAAGATTCTCACCAATTCGATCTCCAACATGACCAGAAGGGATACCCACCTTCCCCCCTCACAGTCCACCTCCCAATCCAGTGGCGTAGCCCTGGAGCCCGGGGGGAGCCAGATGGCAACCCCCGCACTCCCAGGTCGTGGGGCATGTGCCCTGAAGGCTTGATATGGCCAGATCAATTTGCGCGCATAGTGATGGTCCGCTGTGTCCATCGGGTGTGTTTCTTGGACACAAATGACATCCGGCCAATCTCTCCCCCCCACGCCTTTAATCTGATCCCAGACGGCCTGTCTCTTTTGTGGTGTGGCCGTTGCTAAGCCATTTACGTTTATGGAGCGCAGGTCCAAATCTGCCTCTCTTTTTCCTTTCCTCCAGTTCTGATCCTGGTTATATAATGCTTTAACAGTATCCATTTTTTGGGTCCTCCGTTCTTAGAGATGCTCCCATTCCACCATATCCCAGTCAGCTTTCTTGGCCCCAGCAGGATGCAAATATCCCTCTTTAAGGATCCTGGCCAGGGCTATCATGACATCCTGCTCCGACCACATTGTACTAGGCTTTATCTTTAGGAGTTGCAGCTCCAAGAGGGCCGCTTGTGAAAACCATCGCAAGCCTGCTTCCTTGTTTGGGTCAAAGAGTACATAAACGTAGTTATCTTCCAGTGATTGGTCGCCGTACGCCGCCCTTCTAGTGGCCACTGCACCCGGCCGAAACGTTTTTTCAATAAAGGAGCGTGCTTCTTCCATGAAGTGGTCAGTCCCTGATTGGGACCATAAGGGGAACTGGGGGGACCATCCTCCAAGTGTCACTTCCCCATGCAGGGCTCCAGGGGGTGCAGACAGGCCCACTTTCCATCTTCCTTCTTTTTTCCGAGCCGGGACCACCATAACTGCAGGTTTGGAAAGGCTATTTACTCCTTGGCCCCCTTCCAATAGATGTCTAATCTTTTGCCGTTTGCTGACCAGGGGGGTCCCTGCCTGCGTTTCCCCCGTGAGGTCGTGGGGGGGGGGAGAGGAAGGGGTGGG